GATAAGGATCAGGAATTTGACATAGATTGGGATTGGGAAAAACCGGGATTGGGAGAGGATGTGGAATTCCAGGCAGGAATTCCTGTCCTCTCGGGCACACACAGCACGTCCTGGAGCAGCAGGAAAAACCGGGATTGGGAGAGGATGTGGAATTCCAGGCAGGAATTCCTGCAGGGATCAGCCGGTTCCAGTGACAGGGACGCACTTGGCCCCACTGAGCTCCCCCAGCTCTTCCACCCAGCTCTGCTCCATTGAATTCCAGCCTCAAATTCCCAATCCGTATCAAATTCCCAATCCGTACCAAATTCCCTCTGGCTCCGTCAACCTCAGTTCCTTGATCCACATAAAATCCATATCACATCCATATCAAATTCCCAGTCAAAATCAAACTCCTGATCCATACCAAATTCCTGATCCATATCAAACTCTTGATCCATACCAAATTCCCAATCCATATCACGTTCCTGATCCATACCAAATTCCCAATCCATATAAAATTCCCTCCGGCTCAGGGTTGCATGACAGTGACAAACTCGGCTTTGAAATCCCCATTGAGTTTCTCCAACTCTTCCACCCAGCTCTGCTACGTGAACTTCAATCCTCAATTCCTCTATCCATATCAAATTCCCAATCAAAATTAAACTCCTGATCCATATAAAACTCCTGATCCATATCAAATTCCCAATTCACATCAAATTCCCTCTGGCTCAGGTTCCAGTGACAGTGACACATTTGGGACACAAACTCAGCTTTGAAACCCCAGGGAATTCCTCCAGCTCTTCCACCCAGCTCTGCTCCATTGAATTCCAGCCTCAAATTCCCAATCCATATCAAATTCCCAATCCATACCAAATTCCCTCTGGCTCCGTCAACCTCAGTTCCTTGATCCACATCAAATCCATATCACATCCATATCAAATTCCCAGTCAAAATCAAACTCCTGATCCATACCAAATTCCCAATCCATATCACATTCCTGATCCATACCAAATTCCCAATCCATATCAAATTCCCTCCGGCTCAGAATTCCATGACAGTGACAAACTCGGCTTTGAAATCCCCACTGAGTTTCTCCAGCCCTTCCACCCAGCTCTGCTACATCAACTTCAATCCTCAATTCCTTGATCCATATCAAATTCCCAATCAAAATCAAACTCCTGATCCATATCAATTTCCCAATCCATATCACATTCCTGATCCATACCAAATTCCCAATCCATATGAAATTCCCTCTGGCTCAGGGTTCCAGGGACAGTGACAAACTTGGCTTTGAAATCCCCACTGAGTTTCTCCAATTCTTCCACCCAGCTCTGCTCTGCCAACTTCAATCCTCAGTTCCTTGATCCATATCAAATCCATATCACATCCATATCAAATTCCCAGTCAAAATCAAACTCCTGATCCATATCAAATTCCTGATCCATATCAAATTCCCAATCCATATCAAATTCCCTCTGACTCAGGGCTCCAGTCACACTGGACACAAAACTCAACATTTAAACCCCCAGTGAGTTTTTCCAGATCTTCCACCCAGCTCTGCTCTGCCAACTTCAATCCTCA